CGCTATTTCACAGTCAGGGTGGCTAGGGTCTGGAACCAACTTCCAAGAGAAGTGGTGCAGGCTCCTACCCTGGGGGTTTTTAAGAGGAGGTTAAATGAACACCTTGCTGGGGTCGTTTGACCCCAGTGCTCTTTTCTGCCATGGCAGGGGGTCGGACTAGATGATCTGCTCAGGTCCCTTCCCACCCTAGAAACTATGAAACTATGAAACTATTATTCTGTACAAGCAAAATACTATATCATAGGTTTCTTAATGTAATTGTCAATGGTCCTGTTGTTGTACTGCCAGTCACTTGTTTTGCTTCAATCTTCTAATCACACGTGAAATGTGGAACCATAAAGATCAGAGATAAAAAAAAAGAGTCCCTAGTTTAGAATGTCACCCATCTGTCAATGAAAAATTTCTCTTTGGGTGACATTATCAGTGTCTTGCCGAGTGTCCTAAGTGAGGGCTTCTACAATGTACTTTAGGATTTAGCAACTAAAAAGCTATGACATGTAGGACTTTCCCCCCCTTGCTATTCAGCTTATTTTTTCCTCTTTTATTAATGTTATCCAGTTGCTCCTATGCCTATTTTTTTTCCTGCCAACCTAAAATCATTTCTTTCCTTCAGTATAGCTTCCACTTTTTACAACTACCTGAAGGGTGCTTCCAAAGGGGATGGAGCTAGACTGTTCTCAGTGGTAGCAGGTGACAGAACAAGAAGCAAAGGTCTCAAGTTGCAGCAAGGGAAGTTTAGGTTAGATAGTAGGAAATCTCTCTCTTTTAGGTGGCAGTAAAGCACTGGTTTTCCAGAGAGGTTGTGGAATCTCCATCCTTGGAGGTTTTTAAGACTGAACTAGACAAAGCCTTGGCTGGGATGATCTAGTTGACGATGGTCCTGCTTTGAACAGGGGGTTGATCTAGATGACTTCCTGACTATCCCTTCCAACCTTAATTTTCTATGATATTTTCTATGATATGTGAAGGTTGCCACGTCCCCTATTAGTCACTGCTTAGCTAATCCTACCTTCTTGAATAGGAGGCAGGCAGAACATTAGCCCTACCCCTCAATATGATTAGTTGCTCAGTGTGGCTGGGGTGCCAGTGGAAATAACTTATGCTAGGCATAGATTTGGCACAGGTTATTTCCCTCACACAGCAAGAGGGAATTGGGGCTCTTGAGAGACACTCTCTGAGATAGAAAAGACTCTCTGCTTTCTTCAGATCTGCTTCTGGACAAGGGCAACAGTGCACTCCTCCTTACAGGGCTTGTGGTAGCCACAATTGAAGCCTTGAGTAGCTAGGCATCATAGGGTACATCCAGATGAGTGCGCACATGCAGTATGCAGTGCCACAGAAACATCTGTAGTGCCATACATCGCACATGCAGGCATTCCCCACACTGTTAATTTGCACCCCCC